ACATGAAAAAAAAAATATTAATTTTACATATTGTAATTATATTGTCATGTGTGTTTAAGAAAGAAGAAAAACAATGTACCATCTAGACTACAAAGGAAAATGACAGCCAGATTTTGTTGTGTGACCAATGCCATTTTTAGGGCATAAAATTAGAAACAAAAGGGTGTGATTGGATATGGATTTGATTTTTTTTATTGGATTTTTGTTAACTATAGTTAATTTTGTAAAATATGGTATGATTAGTTACTAGTACAACGCCCGTGTATTACACGGGTGCTTGCTAATTTTTTCCTTAAAATCTAAAATTAATGAGAAAAAATAGTTAAAAAATTTAAATACCTTTTATTAAATATATATATAATATATATTTAGTATGACACCTTTTATTTGTGTGACTTACTTGTGTTATATTATAATAATTTTATGAACTTACAACATAACAATTTAAACATAAATATATCAACTGAGAAATAATTTAATTTTTCTAATAAATTTTGATAAATATTATTATTTTTTATTATTATAAAGATAAATATAATTTATTTATTTTATATATACAATATGGATGCCAAATCGAAGATCATGAAAAGATGATTAATTTGATATATTATATATGTAAAACAGATAAGAAATACAAAAGTTATCAACTTTTAAAATACATGTATAATTCAATAGCTAATTGAAGGAAACAAATCAAAAGTCAGGAATATATTAGTCACTCAGTGCCTCACTATGTAAAATTACAAAAAATTAAAGGGTTATGTTAGTACAAGTGATTAAATTACCTAAGTTATCTAAACAATATTTATGGAATATCCGAACCTAGATTATTATTTATTAATATATCTATTATTTGTCCAAACCTAATTACGAAGCATGATTTTTCGCCAAGTATGATTCTGAAGCACCAGAAACAGCCACGTAGGCTCAGCGCATTCGGGAATTATATATAGGAGGGATTAGTGGGAATTTAAGTTTAAATTAAAGTAATATTTAAAATAAAATAATTAAAGTTGATTTAAGGTAAAGTATGAGAAAAATAATCAGAAGTGATGGTTAGTTAATATTATGTGAGCGGAAGTTGACGTGATTTGTATGAATAATTGGTTGATATTATTTAATTATATAAATAATACTGAAAATAGTAAAATTTAATTAAAATTGAATTAAATTTGAATTTTAATTATTTTTTGACTAGTCTAATTTATAATCAACCACACTTTAAATAACTTATAGGCTAAGCCCAAGAACCAATATTTAGTTAATAAAATGATTCTACCTTCTTTTGTCATGAGGACTTAGATCTTATCCATTTTAATTAATCTTTTCGGCTAGGTGGTAGATAGATATTTATGCAATCGGCCTTATCATTTTCACAAAAATGAGCATAAAATTTTTTACTCAAATCACTCGAATGAATGGAAGCCAATTGTTCGTTAAAAATTAATGTGGCAACTTGTAGAAATTTTTTTGATTTGAATAAAATCTTTCGATAAATTTTGTGGTTCCCACACGCCTAAAGAAAATACTCTAATAAAATAGATCTAGATTGAATTGTATTGTTTTGCACACATAAAACGAGCAGTGTAAATAAGTCAAGTCGAATTTCAAGTTGTGTTTAGTATAAAAATGATGGGCAAAGATAACCGAGTTACCCGACTCGGGTCGATCTCGAAGGAAGGCTATTCGGAGCTTCGTCTACTATATGATCGTCCACATCACAAAAATCGAAAATAAAGTCCTAAACATTCTAAGCAATTGATTGGGGGTTTGATTATCACTAGACGAGCACTTAAAACGAGCAATTAATTAAAAACAAGATGAAACGACGAGCAATTCGCAATCTAGATCACCGGAGTCTCAAGCCATAACCAATACGTGATGATAATCAATCGACATACGGAATAAACGAGCTACGAGCATTAGATTGCTAACCCTAGTCGTCTAACCGAGATCAACAAGTAATTAACGGCTCTATCTACTCAAGCAAGCAATCAAGTTCAAGCATTTCCACCATCATCAATCAAATCCAATTTACTCTAATAAACATTATAAGTAAAACCGGAGCAAAAACGAAGTAAAGAGCTTTAAAACTAAATACTCAATCTCCCATTGCGTAGACGATGAAAAACGGAGTCAAAAGCTCGAAACTTGAACGAAACCGAAGTCACCGGAAAATCTCTCGGAAAATAGCATGAACTCCTAATCTAGAGAGCAAAATAAAATAAAAGCTGATTTCCCAAAATGGAAAAGTGAAAAAATGAAAGTTGGATCCCCAAAATGCAAAGGACAAAATGTATTTATACTACTAC